CGAATCTGTCACTTTCGTCTCAAGTGTGTCTAAACCAACTCTCAGGACTGTACAATGGGAATTGCTCCTAGCAACTGCTGTCCTGCTCATCTTTCACATGAGACATGAAATTGAAGCCCTGAGTGCAGAAAAACATAGCATATTTCACAAGAGGGGGGGTGATGTTAGTCTTGGTCTTTTGGCCATCTTCCAGCGTGGGTAATTACATTTCTAGCTAAAATTCCCTCTGCTCTACAGTTTTAATTGGACAGTAGTTTCTTTCTTGCTTGTCTAAAATCCCAGGTTGGGGTCAGGCCCTCACTGCTAATTCTAGAGCCTTATTTTCAGTAGAGCTATGCAGGCATTTAAAAAAAAATCTGTTGTTTTGTGGTTTTTTTTTTCAAACTTAGGAGGCATCATACCAAATGTCCTGATCTGGCAGAACTCAAAGTAAAGAAATCCTCCTTTGGCTTACAGACCCTAATGTCAAGGATCCTTAGATTAGCATCCTCCTAGCTTTGCTTTGCAGTCACAGAATTTCCAACACAAGCAACCCTGTTCACATGGTGACACTTAGGAAGGTAGTCTGATTGCCCAAATGAGAAGTATCCAGCAGTACCCATTCATTTAAACATCTCAGCTGCTGCATACAGCTGACATTTTGGAAGGTACTTAATAGGATCTGCGCATTCAGATTTCTCATACTCAATAGCATTACTCACTGGAACTTTAATGTAACAAGCCCTTTTTTTAATACTTTTGGCCCAGAACTTCTAACTGGCTCCATTTGAGCTAACCAACATAGAAAAGTCTACCTGTATGAGAGAGACACCCTTGCAGTAAAGTGCTTAACTGCATGCTTACATCCAATGGGACATTCATTAAGTTTAAAGTGAAACATGATTTAGCAAATTAGGTCCAAATTCATCAATTTTTCAAGAAAAAGATGTTTAACCATCTGTAGAGATCAGTAACCTACTGAGCCAGAGGAGACTTATAGGGTTGACAGGAAAAGAAAATTCAGGCATATATTGTGCAAGGAAACATCTTCACAAAACTTTTCCTGTGAATGACGTTCTAGGGAGAAGCAGCAGCTTTCCCTGATGCTGTGCAGTACTATTTGGTCTTCTGAAAAGCTTTTGCTTCATTTGTGTATTCACTCCATTTGGAAGGCCGTAACTAATGGGAAACAGTCCTAGCAATCAGGCAAAAGATTTGTTTTCCTTTGCCTTTAAATGAAATATCAATGGATGGATATTTTATTTTTAGTTGAATATGAAATTTCACAAGCGACCTGTCAAGCTCCTGTTTTCAAGAATGACTTTATTTCACACATCAAGACAGGCTGGGAAATTAGTTTTTCCCACAGAGGACTCTGATTAGGGATTACAAAGTGAGTGTGGCGCAGATTTTTCCTCCATCTTTTCCCTCTCTCCGCCAACCTATAGAGCATCTGACTCTGCTGACTAAGGGGAGCAATTCATTACCACGCATGGAAGGGAGACGGGAAGCAAGATAGCCGTATTAAGTAGACTTGCTGGCCCAAGAAAGAAGAGAGAAAGCATAATAATACTAAGCCCTTACATTATCCTTTTCATCAGTAAATATCAAAGCACTTGAAAAAGGAGGTTGATGTGATGGGAAGGGAGATAAATGCCAATTCCAAGTATCCTATTGCAGAGGTACCAGCAGGCATGCTCCCTTTCCTGATAGTCTCTTTTGACCATGGATCTGCAGGGTAGAGAAGTAAACAGGTCCATCTCAAGCTAAAACGCGGAATTAACACACAGATCTCCAAGTACATTTCAAACATTATTGACTTGCCCACTGTAAGTCTCTTGGGGGCTGGGGAAATATGAGGTCCAGTCCAACTACTGGAGAGAGCAAGAGGGAGATTATGTATTACTAATAAATGACTGAGCAGACAGGACCTATTGCCTTTGTCAGCAGACAACAGCTGATTTACACCATGGTTTAACTGCTTGCGGAAGCAATAAAGAGTCCGGATGAAAGGCTCTGTCGTTTTTACCCCATGGAAAATCTGGCTCATTCTGGGGCATTTCTGATGTTATTGAGTAGATTAGTAGGAGTCACTGGAGCAGAAAGCAGCCTTGTGCTGCTGTAGATGAACAGCACTGTTTGGTTTCCCCCGCCCCTAAAAATCCTGCACTGGGTGATCTAATAGAGTTTACTGCCTGATTTCCTTTGAGCCACGTGAAAGGGCCACACATGAGGAACCACATACAGAAAGCATCAATCCCAAGGTCGATCTTCATATTCAAGAGCAATGCAGCATCTCTACTGGCTACGTATCTTTAACAGTTTACAGGCACATCTCATTGCAGAGCAGTCTTAAAAAACCCTCCTTTTTCTACTCTGTAGTTTGTGCTCTAACTTGCTTCTATTTGCCAATGGCCTTTCTGCCCTGTGTATATGATAGTGATGTTCAAAGAGACCCGAAGTCCTGCTGTGACAGGCAATCCAGAAAAAACATCTCATAAGAAGCAGTGTTAGATCCCATTGGGTCAAATGGTTGCTGTGCAGTCACTACGACTCACATCAGGAGGGAAGAACACTCCAGGGGCGAGAACTTCATGTGGAGGTTACCCATGTTTTCATGATGCCATCTACAATAATAGCTTGGTTTTCAACCGTGTGAGGCATCAGCAATTTCCTGAGGCAGCTCTCTGGCCCTAAAACTTCCAGGGCAAATAGAGATAGAAAGAAAAGGAAAAGGAAGAAGACACCAACTTATTTACACTTCTCTGTCCTGTTAACTAGAGCAGGTCACATCTTCAAAACCATTTGCAGAGATGAATACTCATTCACCTTATGCAGTTTCGAAATTCCATACGCTGCATTGTACCCACCATGCTGCTGCCTCTGCTCTGAAAAACACGACAGCAGCTCTGAACAGCCCAATCTTCTGTGGACCAGTGCCTCCCTCCAATACAGCTGAAAATAGGTTTAAATCATTAGATTCAGGTTACCAAACAGTCTCTTGGATCAGGGTTAATTAAACGAGTGTTGAAATCTAATTAAGAACTGGTCCAGGTGATAATTAGCAGGAAATGTATGCATTAAAATATTCATTTGTCGATGAGCTGCAATTAAGAGTGTGATTTGGGGAAGGATCAATAACTACATCATGTGATTTAAAAAAAATGAAAAGTCACCCAGCCTTGAGCAGAAATGCAGGGGAATTTAGGCAAGGTTTTTTTCTCCCCTGCCGCTTTCTGTTTTGCTCTCATAATAACTTCTGAAGACTGCTCTCCACCCTTGAATAGAGCATTCATCACTCCATCTCTTTGTTTTCCTGAAGCACTTCTTTCATCCCCTTGCTCTTCACCACATTGTTCGAGTGGGTTATAGATTTATTAGAGAGAGACTAACAGGTCAAAAAGAAAGATTCTTTGCCAATGAAAATCACTTCCTCCCAGAACAAGCTGCTAATCCAGGGGAACATCGCTCATTGTGTGGCCTTAGATCGGGGTTTTTCTTAGCAAGTGAATTCCTCCAGCCTTTATTCATAACTGAGGATCCAGAGAGGCTATTGAATATGTATAGCTTGCACTTACATACATCTACGTCCATAGTTGTGGTTTACTATGCTGCTCCCAATTTGTAGCAGAGCAACTCTGCTTTCACCGAGACAATTTTTTCCCTGTTTACAAGTACACAGGGGTGTGTGTAAGCCAGTTAACTGCACTCCCCTGTGCAATCCCAGGCAATCCCACCTCTGCTAGGAAAACGAGGGCCTCGCAACGGTCCACCTCCTCTGGCATGGAGCTGGTCTTCCTCTACTGCCATGGCCAGAGGCTGAGTCGGCAATTTCCCCGCTGACACCACTTCCATCGGCAAACACCAGTGTGTCAAAAGGGAAGCATACCACAAGAGCGCGATGATTTCAGCTGCTCTTTGTCAGGCTCCTGACAGCTCACCTTCTCACCTTCCCAGGCTCAGTGGTAGCCCAGCTTCCAAGGCAACTGTCAGCCTGATATGGGGACCGCTGCCAGATCCCCCATGCCCTGCATCCCTCTGCCCCTGGAGACACCATGCTGTGGGGAATCGACTGACCCATGAAGTTAGGACATCCTTGGAACCAGCCAAAAAAATACCAGTGCCTTCTTTCCTAAGTAGATCTATTTCTTCCCATCTCTGTGTCCTATCAGAAATTTAAGAATTGCAGTTGCTGACCTTTCATGTTGTTTTGGGGAGCAGAGGGATGTCTTTCATTCCCAAAAGCTCTACATTTTTCACAGACTTCTGCAGCCAGCTCCGATGATGATCTGTAGTTCTGCACCAGTGTTGACTGTAAAAACACTGTAAAACTTGCCCAGAAAAGTGTAATATTAAATGTTCGTGGAGAGGAAACTCAGGTCCATCAGGTACTATTTTTGGTCCCGTAATTTAACAGTGCTGAAGACATGCTGTTGGTGATGAGACTTACACCCTGCTCAGCTTACTGAACCCCATCTCCAGGGCTGGGCAGGGATTTCTCTCTGCACGTGGGAGTTACAAGTCACAGCAGTGTGAAAGGGTGATCCAGCTCAGGGGGTCTGGCATGCACAGAGCTAACACATTCCATCAAAATAAATCAGTTCTCAAATCCTACCACATTAATCCAGCAAAAGGTTCTACAGTTTTCTGCACTGAGTCCAGATCTTTGTCCTCTGATGAGGCCAACCTACTGAGCCAGCAGGTTTTCTATATGTTGAAAGAATAAGGCAATAACTTTTTCAGAGAGAACATTAATGACAACCTGGAAGTTAGGATTTTGGGAGAAACTAGGAACTGGGCTGCTGGCCTCAGTTGTTCACCCTCCAGGGTCCTTTCCTTCCTTCCTGGTGCTCTCAGACTCTTGTAAAGGTTCAATTCAAAAGGCCTGAGAGGTTGTGTGAGAAAAATCATCATCACCTGAATCCCACACTACCAAATCTGTGCTAGTTGTATGGATTGAATGAGCGAGTGTGTACCCGGCTAATTAACTTGTGTGTCTCCTTCTGTCTCCTGTCCTGCAGGGAGCCTCTTCAAGCCTGGTGGTGAAGTTTGCTGATACAGACAAGGAGCGTACAATGAGACGCATGCAGCAAATGGCAGGACAAATGGGCATGTTCAACCCCATGGCCATCCAGTTTGGAGCGTACGGCGCCTATGCACAGGCAGTAAGTATAGACACTGGCTCTATGGATATTCACGAGAACAGGGGTAGGACACAGAATGACACAAAGCACACGCGAGCTGACATGATTTCTCCATTAAACCGATTAAACAATGGGGGCAAACTGAGCCATGCCATCTAGGGTAGGAGACGACATCTCCCTCAGAGGTGCAGTACCTTCTTCTGGCAGCAATCAAACCGTGGTCGTGTGTGTACTCATGTAAGACACTTCCTCTGGGGTCTAAGCCATGCTGCCAAATCCAAACACAACTAGTGTTTGAGTTTTGGATAAAATAGGTCCTGAATTCAGCTCATGCTAGTTCTTTGTCCTATGTCAGCACCACTTGGCATTAGAGAAGGTTTGTGAGGGCACAAATACTTTCTGGCCCTTCTCTGGTAGCGGCCATGGAGACTGAGTTGAACTGGGGAGATGGTTTTCTGCTTCATTTGGTCAGGTCCCCACTGCCCCATGCATCATTGTGGGTGTCTATAGAGTAATCATGGCAGCTGTTGACAGAAATGCTTTTAGGTTCGTGAAAGCATACTAGGTAATACTGAAATGGACAAGCAGACACACAGTCCTGGCTCCCTAAAATGTTATCATTTAAACACACTGAGAAAACTCATCAGCTATTTAAAGCAGCATTGCCCTGTCTATCTTCAGGTATCCTACCTACACATCTAGCTCAGACCCTGGGCCCCTGGGAAAATGTGGCTATACAGAGCTGGGCTCCTGGCAGAGCCCTGAAACAGATGCCTCTGGCATAACTACCTTTCCTTAGGCTGCTATAAACAAGAACCTGTGACACAAGATCAGGTTCTTGTATCTTAGTCTCTGCCAGATGTTTTGGAGCAGGCAGACATAATACTGCTGGTGACTTCGGCTGCCTTCTCTGGAGCAATGACATGGGAACATTTGCACGCAGTGACAGTAAATCTAGATGTTTCATCCATTTGGTGGTAAAATGTGGCCCTCTTGAACTCTGTGCTGGATTTGTGTGCAGGAAGGAAGTACTGTTAATCCCATTTTCCAGAGGAACATCTTCTGAATGAGAGACATCAAATGACTTGCCTTTGGTACTACAGGGCCAACTCAGGAATCACATTCCGGTGCACCTAGACTCCCTACAGCACACTGACGGCAGGGGTCTGCTTTCTTCCCTGCCTGTTTCCTTCTCCATGGACTTCCCATCACATCCACATGAATTTTTTTCAACTTGAGGACCTAGAAGTTTTTGGCCTCCATTGAGTGTCATGTGCCTCACTGGACACTTGGAACAACCCAGCCTGCTCTTTGCGTAGTCCATGTAGAGTCAAGATGTACCCCCTGGTGCTATTCCGAACTTTTAAAATTCCCTTCCCACTAGACAAATTCATTTTTCCTTCCATTTTTCCCTTTTCATTTTTGTTCCAAATCAAAGAGAATCTTTGCTTCCTCCTCTGTCCCCTTCTCCCCTCCTCACGCAATAGAACTGTCCCCTCCCCAGCCTGGCTGTGTTTAACTGTGTTCCTGGCTGGAGAATTCTGCAGGAAGGGGAAAAGAGTACATCGCAGCTGAGCCCAGGCCAGTGGCCAGCAGCCTGACAGAGGGATGTAGCATCTGTACCAGAGGAGTTAACAGGAGGCAACCCCTGGGCAGCTGGGGGCAAACATCTGCAGAGGTTGCCAGGCATGAGACGTGGTTCCAGAGTTATGCTACAGGCGTTGATCAGGCAGCTGGAGAGGTGATAAAGGCACCACTGCCCTGGTGCACTGAACCAAAAATTCCTCACGTATCATTTTTAATCTGGAGTAATTCTTCTAGTTGCCATGATAATAGAGTCATTGCAGGTTTATACCGATACAAAAGAGGATGAGATCTGCACCTTTACACCACAAAAGTCCCCTCCATCTATTTCTTGCCAACAAATACAGGACACTCTGAGGGACAAGGTGCTTCAGTGAGGTTTCATCTCTGAAGAAAGACTGAAAACAATTCCCACTCCTTTTGAAACTAATGAATATTTTTCCTATTGATTTCTGTGAAAGCAGAATCGGACCCATCATCCTTTTCTTTTTTTTCCTTTCTTTCCTGGTAAATATGCTAATCAGGGAGAAAGAATAAGTTTTAGATCTTGACCCATTGAATATGACAAGTTGGTGACACCAATTACCCCGGGGACTTCAGAGCTGTCTAAACGATAGGATCACATTTCCGTGTGGCGCCTGTACACCCAGAGCGTGCTCAGATGCTGTCTCTCAATCAGCCTCCCTATCTGTGTCTCTCCCTATCTGCTTCATCTCACATTCTCACACAAAAGGGAAAGAAGGGAGTGCTGAGGCTCTCTGACGTTCCCTCGGTCCCGATTAATCCACCTTGGACTGCTGGCTCTCAGATATCAGGGTGATTGACACCTTGCAAATGCCAGCAGGAGATGGAGGGATCGATAGGGAGAGAGGGGAAGTGGGGAGCACTTTTATTCAGCCTGAACTGAAGCTGAAGAGTGAGGGCAAGGCAAGAGGAGGGAAGGTGAAACAGCAAAAACACAAGAGCAGGACAGTGGTGACAGCTGATGCCACCGCCACCAGCAACTCATGTGACCTTGGGTGAATCGTTTGACCCACTGGTCTGGTTTCCCCATGTACAACTAAAGCTGATGATCGGACTTATTTATTTTCCCTTCTCCCTCAGGGACATGGCTCTCTCTCATGCTGTCTCTCCATGGGTTTTCACACAGGGGTGTGGTGGTAACACAAGTTTAAGAACTGCCTCAGTGCTTAGTAGTAAGGCCAGGATGATCATGAGACACTAGGATCTCTGATTTGTACTCATAACCTGTCCTCCCAGCTATCCCACTGCGGTCCGAGATTGACTGGTATCTCTGTATAAGAGTTCCCAAGCAATCCCATGAGAGTTGGTTAATCAATAGTTTCTAATGGTCTGTCCCCATGGAGGAGGTTGCCAAGTCCCCTAGGCAAGGGTTTCTTGTTGAATCGCCTCCAGAGAGGCATCATGCACATCACCGAGACTGGATTAGCTTCTGCAAAAACGTCTCCATGCATGAAGGTGGCCAGTGCAGCAGAAGCCCACACGATGCTGCCGTTTGAGAGGTTAGTGGGCAGCCGTGGATTTGCAAACCCAGCGGCACCACTGAGGAGAGGAGGCAAGGGTCTCCATCCATCAGTGTTTGACTGATAGATGCTAGTGGCGCCACCAGGACTGCTTTGGGCCCTAGCTCCCCCTTAAGGTACCTCCTTAGCAGCTCAGCAAACGTCCATGTCACAGTTCACTCACTACTGCTGCTCGCTGCTCAGTTACTCAACCTCAGCTTAGGCAACTTTAACCTCGACAGCAGCAACGGCCCCACAACTGGCTGAGCACC